GTCATCGCTACCTTGCTGAAGAGGTCGATCATCGTAATCCTCTTAAACCCCCTCCAGGTAAAAGTATCGACTTGCACATCTTTCAATGGCATGTCTCCCGTAGGGGTTTCCTCCTGTAATCCTTGAGGTGGCCGTCTATCGTATTTAGTGCGCGCGCACACTTCGCATCTCCCAATGATTTCTGAAATTGTCTTCCTCATGCCATCCCAGAAATACCTTCTGCGCAACGCTTGAAACGTCTCTTGTTCCCCCCGATGGTTGGTCTTGCCCTGGTGGTGTGCCAATGTTACCTCCCTCTGCTGCTCCTTGTCCGTCACCGTTTCGACTAAGTATTTACACCTGATAAACGATCTGTCGATGCCTATTTTTTCTGATCTCCAGAGTTTCTTGATTTTTTCCCAGATGGTTGCATTCCCCACATACAGGTGGTGAACCTTTCCCGGCTCCGAGGCGTCCTGCAGAGCCTTACAAATTTGTTCCTCTTTCACCCCTGGTTGGGACCAAATGGTGTTCACCTTCTTCCTTCCATACTTACTGAAGTCAATCTTCATGAGTCCCGACGTTCTGGTCTTCCAAATTACCTGTCGTCGCTTATCATTGATGATCTCTTCGCATTCCTCGATGTCTGTAGGCCTTTCTTCCACTGAGCTCTCTTCTCCTCTCGATCCCTCTGCTTCCACATTCCCTGGTTCCCCTTCCCCTTCCGGTGTCCACGCTCTCAAAAACTGCCGCACGTCCCGCGACGACTCTCCTTCTTCCTCCTCGATAGCATTTATCATTATGGCTCTGGACAGCCAGTCCGCTACCACGTTGTCTTTACCTGGCTTATATACGACCTCCATATTGTACTGGCTTAGAAATTGTTTCCACCGAGTGACCCTAGCCGATGATTCCTTTAAATTACCAACCCATTGCAACGGTCTGTGATCGGTATGCACCCTAAATTTTCTGCCAAAAATATACGGCCTAAAGTGTCCTACCGCCCATACAATGGCCAAGAGTTCCCTTTCCAAGGCGCTATATCGCGTTTCCGCATCTGTAAGCCGCCGACTCGCATACGCTACTGGCTGTTCCCCCTTAGTTCCCTCTTGAGCAAGTACTGCCCCCAACGCATACTCACTCGCATCTGTAGTGACAATAAACATCTTCGCAAAATCGGGGAAAGCGAGTACCGGCTTATCCTGTAACCGCGCCATGCACTTCCTTACGCTGTCCTCTATCTCTGACGTTATTATTATCTTCCGGCCTTTCTTCAGAAGATTATTAAGAGGTGCTAAATACTCCGCCATTTCCGGCACGAACCGACGGTAATAGTTGAGTGTTCCCAATAATCTGCGGATCCCTTTTACATCCCTGGGCATCGCCATATTTTGTATCGCCTCGACTTTCTGTTTATCGGGCCTGATCCCCTCCTTTGAAATGGAATGTCCCAGAAATGTTATCTGATCCTGTCCCAGAATCGATTTTTCCGCCGACAACTTCAGCCCAAACTGCCTTAATCTGTCGAATACGCGCCCTAAATGATCGACGTGCTCCTCTTCATCCTTACTGAAGACTAAGAGATCATCCATGTAGACTTGACAGAATTCTTCGTCTAATCCTCTCAAGAATTCGTCCATAAACCTCTGGAAAGTTATGGGAGCGTTCTTTAGTCCAAATGGCATGCGAGTAAACTCGTAATGCCCCCTCTCGAACGAAAACGCCGTTTTGTGTTGGTCCCTAGGGTTCATACGAATTTGGTGGTAGCCCGCCTTTAAATCCAAGGTACTAAAAATGGTTGCCCCACTAAGCCTGTCAATAATATCATCGAGTCGCGGAAGCGGATACTTCTCGTCTAGGGTGTTGTCATTGAGCTTTCTGAAGTCAACCACCACCCTGTACTTCTGCTCTCCCGACGACGTCTTTTTCTTCACCGCCCACAGGGGACTATTGTATGGTGACGTGCTGTCCACGATGATGCCCTGCTTCTTCAAGCTTTCGAGCTCCTCCTTGATATGGCGACGTAAAGCCTGCGGGTAACGTCGCTCCTTCACGTACGTCACCTTTTCCTGTTTTAACGGAATCTCATGTGCTGTCCTCCCCGTTGCGCTCAACACCTCCCCCTCTTTAAAAAAAATATCCGCGTATTCCCTCTTTATCCTTTGGACCCAATGTTCCGCTTGTTCTATTGCCCCAATGTTCCCTTTTCCTCCCACTCTCCCTTTCTTACACCGGTACCTCTTTCCTCCCATTCGCACCCTCCAACCTGTTCCCCTGTAGTCTATTCTTGGTCTCACTCTACTCAATAGGTCACATCCTATTATACCCCCATATTCTCTCGGCATATTCTCTACTACATGTACCCTCAACTTCCCACTTCCTGGGATCCATTTGTCTAAATCTAACTCTACTTCCCCTTCTATCCTACATGGACCACCCAAAGTGATCAACCTACACGTACATTTTTTTATTCCCGGTATCCTCTCTCCTTTACACAACTCCTCCAACATCTGCCTAGATACTATTGTATTCGAACTTCCCGTATCCACCAGACACTTTCCCTTCCCCACAACACTTATGATTGGCAAACCAACGCACTCACCTCCAATATTATTTACTACCGCGTGGCTGCCTCCCCTCTGCTCCTCTCCTCATTCGTCTGATCTTCCTCTCCTGTCCGCGACGGCTCCCCCTTCTCCACTCTTTCTGCTGCTTCTGCCTCTTCGAGCTGCTCTCACCACCGGCTCCTCCTCCTCGGTTCCAGATGTTCCCGACGAATCGTCCGACTCCGATGCCGCTCCTCTCTTCCTCCACAATCTCTGGGCGTTCACCTCCATCGGCTCATCTCGGCCCGCTTCCCCCGTCTACTCATATACGGGCATTGTCTAGCAATATGCCCCTCAGTTCCGCATTCGAAACATCGGGTTCGCGGGCAATTCGCCACTAGGTGACCTATCTTTCCGCACCCGTGGCATCTCCTGTCCTCCTTTGTCCATTTCCTTCTCTCCTTCCCTGGCTTTTTCTCCCTTATCGCCGTTCTTTCTCTTGCGCTAACTTCTCCTCCTCTTTTCTTCCAGCCTTCCTGTCTCGTTCTAAATCTACCGGGTTCCGCTCTCCTGTACGATACTCGGTTCCACCCGTTCTCATTCTCCTCTTCTCCCCTGGCTGCTTCTTCCTCCCGCGCGCTTGCATCAATCATTTCCTGGGCACACTCTACAAAACCCTTGTCTCTAGGTAGTCCATCCTTCTTTCCCGTGTCTCTACCCAGTTGTACTTTAAGGATGGTTGCCAGGAACGCCATTCTTGCTCCCGTTTCCACTGCATCCGCTACTTCCCTCGTCTTCTCCGTTACATTGTTGAATCGTGCCAACAGGTTTGCTGCATAATGTCCGTTGGACTGATACGGCTGTTTCTTCTCTCGGAACATCTGTAAGATGTCTTCTTCTGGGGCCCAACGGCCCCCTCCAAATGCCTTCTTCAGCCTGTCCTTCACGGTGCTCCATGGGGTGTCTTCATCCGCCTGGATCATGTTCAGCACACTCCTTTTAACCCGGCATACCAAGGCTGCCCTCAATGCGTTGGCATCCAGCGGATCTATCAAGTTTTCCCCTTCTTTGGCCGCTATACGCGATATCACCCGGTCGCCTCCCTTTAGAAAGTGGTTCAACTCACCTGTTCCTCCATCAAATCTCTCCAGGTCAGATATAGCTCTCCTCAGGTCCTGCGATGTCGCCGTTCTAACCTTCAGCCATTCCAGCGTCGTCGCATGTGCTGACGCTAACGTTTCCGTAGGTAGCGGAGGAAAGTCCCTCGCTAACGCTTCTGCCAACGTAGGAAACGCTGCCGGTGCCGCAGTCGGTTGCGCTACCTGTGCTGTAGGCGGTACTGGTGGTGGTGGACGTACTGGCGGTTGACCTACTCCGTTCGGCATCCTGTTTTTTTATTTATCTCCACGACGTGAAAAGAAAAAAAAAGAAAAAACGAAAAGACAACTACAAAAGTAAACTCTTTAAGATTCCCGGGTTTCGGCACCACTTACGTCGGTTCTAACTCGGAAAGATAAAAAAAAGAAAGAAAGAAGAGGTTTGAAATGAAACGCGTGGTTGCTCAAATAAGACTGACTTTATTCTCTCCGTAATGCTATATATATAGCATTACGGTTTGTTTACAACTATTGACTAGGATTAACTCTTATATAAACTTACATCTAACCATAACTTATATATATATATATATTGATTTTTAAATTGTTTACGATTGTTAGATGTTATCACTGTAATTAGAAGGAAGAGGGATAACGCAGTGGGCAAGGTACTGACTTTCTTTGCTCAAGATACCGGGTTTGAGTCTGAGTGTGGTAAGTAATTATTCATTCTGTTAGATCAACGGTGGATGGACCATGGGATCAGAAGTTCCTCCTAGGGCACACGCATCCTCTATAAAGGGGTTACTCTTAATTAAATAGTTAAATAAGGATGAAAACATGGTGGTGGAGTGTGATGCACAACCGTTGCCCGTGAAACAGTATCTGTCTACTTACAAAGTACTGATCCACTAAGTACTGGATTGTAGTGGTACATGTTTTTTATTCTTATTATAACTATAATTATTTTAATCATTATTTTTTTATTATTCTAGAATGTTTTGTTAATTCTATCCACTAACATTTAAAATATTACTTGTACAGTGCAGAAATGAATTATCGTGTCTGTAATGTCGTAATAAAATATATAAACAAATACTTAACTTAGCCGATAAACACGACTCCACTCAGCATTGAATATTTTAAGTAGAAAACTCAAAGATACGTGTAAGGACAGTGATCCTCCGAAGAAATTCAGATTTAAGCGGCAGTTAAAAGGCAAATTGGTCGAAGGGAGTTTGAGTTGGTGGAAATTACAGGGGGGCCACCGGCGAGTAACTGGATCCCAGTGAGCCTCCCATTAGCCCTCGAAATTACTTTTTGCCATCCAACCTGGCTCTAGTTATATCTTAACTAGCTCAGCTCTGTATTTTAGGATCTACAATGTCTCCTCAGATCGGCTGCCGCGTTCAGATGCGCTGCGGGATTCATCAACTTTTACCGACAACTGATATCGGGAACCTTCTTCAGGCTAAGTAAAAGAAGAGGTATCTATTGCTAAAAGCTTATCAAGCTGAAGATGTGAAAATTTGGTGCAAAGTAACAGAATAGTCCTTTCTTGTGATTCTATATTTCTTGTGAATTAAACTATAATATGACAAACTACGTAAATGGTAATCAAAACATGATTACCTGTTAAAGGAAGGAGATGTTCCGGGGTGGCGGTCATAAATAGTTTTAAAACTATTTTATTGAAAGACGACGTTTCGACCCGACTTTGCAGGTCTTCTTCAGGGCTAGAACGGACAAGATACAAAAAGATAGAGAATTGTGGCAGTTACATAATATTTGGACAAAATTTATAAACAATGTGAATAAGCTTATTAAAATTGTAAACAGTAAGTACATTAAAATATGAACAAAGTAAGCTAAGTAACAAGATCCTAAACTGAAGTAAATAGATGCTAACAATTGTTGTAGTGTAATATATAATAAGTGTAAATGTGAATATACTTGTTAGCATCTATTTACTTCAGTTTAGGATCTTGTTACTTAGCTTACTTTGTTCATATTTTAATGTACTTACTATCTACAATTTTAATAAGGTTATTCACATTGTTTATAAATTTTGTCCAAATATTATGTAACTGCCACAATTCTCTATCTTTTTGAATCTTGTCCGTTCTAGCCCTGAAGAAGACATGCAAAGTCGGGTCGAAACGTCGGCTTTCAATAAAATAGTTTTACTACTATTTATGACCGCCACCCCGGAACATCTCCTTTCTTTATAATGCAACGGTCAACTATTAAATATTCAATAAGATTCTGTTACTGTTACAATTTGTTTAATTTTTTTTTGGATTCATTCCTTAACAGGTTGATAATATAATGTAACAGGATTAATCCATCCATGTATTGGTGTGATAGCAATGCATCGAAAAAACAGAAGATCGTGAACAAGAAGAATATTATTAATTGAAGAAACAAATTGAAAAATTATATTTTACATAACCATAAATCTAAATCACTCTGAACTAAATCATGGAGTAGATCACCATTTAACTATGCTGGTCTGCGTGCTCAAGCCAGATGATTGCATTGAAGACGTTGAAAGTCACGTTGATGATCTGAAACTCATATTTTCGTTATGATAAGAACGGTGTATTAAATACTATAATATACTGCAATATTGTGTTAAATATAATGTTTAAATCATTCAGAGGATAAGACAATAAAAACCAGCATTCAAAGAATAGAACAAACCGATCTAAAAAGCTCCATGCCAAACACCGCTAAGGTTTTGTACTGCAGATTCAAAATTTTTGAAGAACCCAGCATAACAATTCTCAAGTCCTTCTTAGCCTTCAGATCATGCTCGTACCAGAATCCGTTATATGAATCCCGGAATAGAAGGGTGCTCTGGAAACAACAGTTATTTATAGCAACTAGAATGTTGATAAATTCTATTAAAACAGAACTTCGAAGGGCAGTTATAAAACTTACTTCTGTTGTAATCTTACTGCCGCAGTAACATATCACGTAGGGTATGAAGTAGCAGAAGACAAAGTTTACTAAGTTGATCAAAACATTTTCTCTTTTTCCCTCTTTTATGTGAACCTAATGAGACTTTTGAATTAACATTTTGTAATTAAAACTATACACTGTAAATGCTTAAGAACCAATTACATAGAAACATATGTAATATGCGTATACATAACAATCACACACACATATGTATTGTATTTACATTTATTTTATTTTTTATATCTCATTTAAATTATTTCTTATTTAATATAACTGTAAATCTATATCGTTTTGTGTCAATCTATAACTATACATTGTTTATCTTAACAATCTTCTGTACAAAATATGATTTTTGTCATAATATATACAGAATTTTCTATTAATATGTAATTCCCCTTCTGCACCTCCTCTGTCCGGCGGCCTCCCTGCTACACGTCCTTCTATCCGTGCCAAGGAGAAGTAGTCTAGGTATACGATGGCTTTCTACTAATATATAAATTCTTTAAAGTGAGAGTAATTTTCTTTGCTGACGAGCTAAGGGAACTTGTTTTCTTTTAAAAAGAAAAGTGCAGTTTCCTTCATCAGCTTAGTTCTAAGTGTCTCATAGCCAGTACAGGCCTATGAGAATGTGTTCAGCGGTCTCCGGTACTCCGCAACAAGGCCGTAAGAGATTAAGGTTCTTCCCAAACGCAAAGAGCTTTGCTCGAAAACCTCCATGAGAGTAACTGTGAGAACCACTATTCCGGGGTGATCCATGTGTCTTCCAGCCTCGAACCGACGGTAGTATTGTACCTTCTCAGAGTGCCTCTTTAATGCTCGTAAAACACCGCAGTTCCAAATCCCTGGATTCTACACTGATCCTAATTTGGAGACTCTCTGGTAGATCCGCCGAACCTTCTCTCTTAATCTGATGCCCAAACTTGTCTTCTTATAGCAGGAGGTCAAAGCTGCTCCGCCTCATGAAACAGTATCCTAAATTCCCTGGTGACGCGTAGCAGTGCCACCCGCTGGATGGTCGCCAACCTGCTCTTTTGCTGGTGGAAGAGATTTCTATTCCAGACAGAGGACGCGTACCTCAGATTACCAAAAATCACTAGCTTATGTATAGTCATTGTTGTTTAGTATCTGAGACTCCAAAAGGTGCCCCCCCCCCCATAACTGAGCCCATTAAGGGCCAGGGTCACCCTACTTCTTAAATAGTCCAAGTGAGGTGTCACATTAAATTTATTTTTAACTCTAACTCTACTATATATATACATGCACGAGGATGTTCTAATCAGCTCAAAACACGCATCCGGCTTATCAGATGTGAGAACGTATAGAGGAGCCAAGGTTGATTGAGATCATTATCTCGTGGCCAAAATAAAAGCAAGGCTATCGATATATATATATATATATATATATATATATATATATATATATATATATATATATATATATATATATATATATATATATTTGCTCATGATTAGTAACACATACTTTTATGGTATATTATTCAGTAAAAATATAAATACTTACTTTGTAGAGGGTATATGCTGAACATGAGCACTCCACTGATATTACAGTAGTCTCAAAATACAGGAGCCATGAAAAGAGGTCATTGGTATTATTTAATAGCCTGAAAACATCAACTATAATACATTAAATTTTGATCCATTCATTATTTTACCAAAAATAAGGACTATGACCATATCGACTAAAATCAATTCACTAAATTCTTTAGACTGCGCTGTAAAATAACTATGAACAGGCCGAAACGAAGTGGGAAAGGCACCATTTTCTTCGGGTGGTAAAATTTTGAGGACGATAAATTTTGGAGAAAAATGTTGCTTTTAGGATAAGTGGACAATATCTTTGCTTTTTGGTTGTTAAGAAATTAATCCAGTAAATAAAATAAGTTTATAAAATGAGATGATGACATTTATTTTAAAATAATTTACTTAAAATACTATTTACTTTTATTAGAAGACGGAACAGGATTATACAAGGAGCGACAAAATTAAACTTGCCTCTCTCGCAAAAATTCTAATTCCGGTCATGTTTGATAAACTTTTTATATATATTCACCTATATTTTATATCTTTACCTGCATAGCGGTTCCTCCCTGCTCAATGTTTAAATCAAGGCCACTGGCCAAAGTGTAACAAGTGCCTTCAGCACACTCATCCTGTCCTACCTTAAAATACCCCAGGGTAAGAAAAGGTACAAACCAATCCCTATCGCATATATATATATATATATATATATATATATATATATATATATATATATATATATATATATATATATATATATATATATATATATATATATATATATTCGACCCACCAAGGCAATCTCTCTAGGGCATGAGAAGCCTGATATAAAATCTCCTGACCCTGCAGGTTGGGGATTGGGCGTTGGGCTAGTAACTGAAACCCGAAAAAAATTAAACCTATTGTGAATCCTGAACAAAGAAAAGCCGGATCTTACGGTTACGATATAACGTCCGTATTAAGGAAATTTAATTAGGATCTTGGAATGTGCCGTCACTTAATCGAGGTGGAGCATTACAGCTACTCTTAAACCAACTTGACACCTATCGGATTGATATAGCTGCAATTCAGGAGATCCGGTGGCTTGGAAACGGAATGATAAGGAAAGGTAACTACACCGTATATTATAGCTGCAATGAAAGGTATGGGTGGAAGGGTATCTCACCTTGTAATTGGCTTTGAAGCTATCAATCCCAGATTGTGCTATCTAAGAGTAAGAGGCAAAGTCTACAATTACAGTCTTCTGAGTTTACATGCCCCAACTGAAGCCTCAGAGAAACAGAAAAAATATTAATTTTACAGCGCTGTGGAACAATGCCTCGACCGATGCCCACGCTCTGATATAAATATAGTAATTGGAGATTTCAATCCACAAATCGGTAAAGGGTGTGTTTTTCGACCCACCATAGGAAAACACAGCCTTCATGATGAATCTAATGATAATGTGGAGAGGCTTATCCACCTTGCAGTATCAAGAAGATTGGTCGTTGGCAATACGTTGTTTCCCCATAAACGCATTCAACTTACCACTTGGAGATCTAACGATGGTATAACTGCAAACCAAATCGAACATGTTCTAATGAGCTCAAAACACGCAACAGACTTATCAGATGTGAGAACGTATAGAGGAGCCAAGATAGATTCAGGTCATTATCTCGTGGCCAAAATAAAAGCAACGCTATCGATAATTCGATCCCACAGGAGCTCACCACAACCAAAACTCAACATTGAGCGATTAAAGGGCTCTGCCATGATATGCTGACACTATGGACGAGAAATTTTGTCAGATCGTACACTTAGAGCAGAATGTAGATCAAGATTGGGAGGTCTATAAATCCACAATGAAGGAGGTGGTCAGTGAAGTATTCAGATGTGAATCCCCTACAACCAAGCTATTTACGAGGTTTCAGGCGGATTTTAATAATTTGATAAAATAGGGGTCTGTACCTCGGATTATCAGTGTTAATAGCTAAAATTGTTTTAAAACAGTCACGCGATCTGACCGAATAATTTGAGCCATCTAACTTAAAAAATGTTATTTAATCATTAAAAATCACTAAAATTATAGTTTCAAATAATGATATATTTTTATAATTAGGTGAATAAAAACGAACTTGATAATCTCCTGATGTTCTCTTATAGTCTGCTTGGATATTTTCTCCTCCCGTAATTTCCTCCGGATGACCCTCATGTAAGTGGCCAGCTGCTCGGATGCAATTAGGTAAAGTAAAAAGCTGGAAGTGTTAGCTAGGAGCGGGCTTACCGCAAGCGTTATTTGTGCAATCTGTTTATAAAATGATTGGTAGATATTTATAATCATATCAAAACGGAATAAATTATCTTTAAAGTGACAAGTGGACTTATCACCTGAACAGGAACGTAGTATTTTTTGTTGTCGAAAGGCATGTATATCTGTAGCGTAAGTTGGTCCACTCCAAAAATCAGGTGGAACAGCAGGGCCATGAGTATGTTAGCTGTCGGTGTGAATATAACAAAGAACTTATAGATCTTGTATAACAACCTGCAACTCTTTTCTGATTTTTCCATTATCTCCTGTAACAAAGATTTTTTTGTATTTAGTGATCAAATATACGTTATCCCAATGAGAATATCGTTTTTTTTCGCAATATTTATAATTATCAAACAGTTTTGTACCGAGCAGGCTTGGACAGTATATCAAATAAAGTATTTTAAAATACAAAATAAAATACTTTTTTTGTATTTTAAGAAGTAAAATATAAAATACATCGTTTGTAATTATAAATAAATATAAATATTTGCTTAAAATGTTTAAAGGTCGATGGTGCTAAATATTTAATACAATTACCTTAGGCAATAAAACTGCCAGATATTTAGAAATTATGAAAGGTTACAGGATTTTTCATTGAAAGCATGAAAGAGTATACTATCGATAAATATATTATTGGGAATAACAAATGTATTTTTATGAATTTAAATAATTTTCTCCTAAAGATTAAGGGAGAAACAGTCGCATCAATCAATAGAAATATATTAATTTTTTATTACAATGAAGTTGAAAATTTCAGTGAAACGCTCAAGAGGTTAAAAAAAATCGTTAAAGTGATAAAACTCAAAGTTTCTAGTAAAGTTTCGTTAATGAAAATTATAATTAACCTAAGAAATAATTAAAAATATTTTTTCAGAAAAAATCTTATTATAAATTAATATTAATGTTTTATGCTAACAAATTGCACCTCGTCTTGTCCATACTTCCAGGGGTGCACTGTATACCGGAAGGTGTGTGCACCAAGGTCTCGAGAGGGAGTAGCCATCCTGGTCAGAAGGGATGTACCTTCGAGATCCGTCCCGAACACAGTGGAACCAACCGAGGGAACTCAGTTACTGACAGTTGCCGTACGACTTAAGAGTGGACTCACGTCCACTTGTTTCTATAGGAGACCCAGGGCTGAACTGACATCTGTTAAGCTGCTGCTACCATATACCCAGGTGACGGGTCGGCATGTAGTCCTTGGGGACTTCAACGCTCGACACTCTTCCTGGCTGTGTGGTAGCGACAATCCACTGGGGAAGTACATCACCAAGGCTAGACCGTCTTCCTCCCAGATGTACACAACTTTCCAGCATTCAGCCTGACCTGATTGGATATTAACACTGCACCTGCTATTGACCAGGGATATGCACACCATTACAGAAGGGGACTCTGCTAAGCACTAGGCAAATCCTCCAACACCTTATGAAGCATTATACAGCATCATACCACCAGAGCAGATTGGTTTTCAGAGAGGGCTCGAGTGTGAGTCTCTAGCTATATAGCATGCGTGTGAGTCTAAAACACCACCTAGCTAAACTCCAGGCCCACACAATAGATGAAATTAGTCTCAACAGAGCTACGGCGCTCATCTCTCTAGATTGAAGTCAGGTCTTTGACTGCGTGTCTCACACGCATCTACTTCACCGTCTGGTAGAGTTCAGGTTTCCTGCTACTCTATGACGACTGCTCCGAAGCTACCTCAGCAGAAGATCTCTCGTCGTACGAGTTGGTACAGAATACTCAAACCCAGTCGATACCACCTGCGGAGTACCTCAAGGGTCTGTGTTGGGGCCAATACTCTTAGTCATTTTCACGGCACCAGTAGTAGCACTCAAGCATCAAGAGGCAGTGGTAGCAGTGTATGCGGACAACATTGGCATATATGCTTCCAGCGTCACCGCGGGTACTGCACTCACTCTGGCACAGAATGCTTCAGCCACCATTATTGAAGAACTAGAAGCGATCGGTGTCAGAGTGAACTCTGCGAAGACTGATGCTAGTGTCATGGCGTTCCAGAAAGAGAAAAAAGCCTCTACCTACACATTTCACCGTTGGAGCAGCTGATCATAAATTCTCCACCTCAATCGTCTACCTTGACGTCACACGGGATAGCCATTCAATCTTCTCCAATCACTTTAGGCAGAGAATCAAGCTGGCACGTCAGAAGACACCGGCTTTACCATCTTCTAAAGTCGCCGCAGCTCCCGCTAAAACTCAAGCTCAAATTTATAAAGCTATAATAAGACCTACAGTGATCCAAGGGGCCCCTCTCCTGCGCTACCTGTATAAATACACGCTTACGAGACTACAGAACTCTATCCTTTGGCGAATTTTCCGTGGCACACAAAGGGCTAAGAATCAAACAATACAAGAGGAGCTCCAGCTACCCTCGGTACCTGAGTTCTTAGGTCGGAGGCACATCAAATTTTTTTATCGCCTGAAGGTCTGTGCAAACGCACCATTTAATGAGATCTCACCACCACCCAGACCTGGGAGGTGGCAAGGTAAACTTCCTTTGGTGGACATATTCGCCGAAGGATGTGGTCTGGACTCTGCGGTCCGAACCCATTGATTTTTTATATTGCGTTTCTTTGAATACATTTGAATTGTTATACTTACATATGTAATTGTAATTAAATAAACTTTGTGAGGGATCAGAAAAAAAAATAATAAAAGAATAAAAAATGCTAACAAATTACTAATCACCTAATATAATGGGAGAAGAGAAATTGTGAAATATATTTATTATTGATAAACTTAATGATCCTGCAAATGACCAAACCTAAAGAAGGTAAATAATTCAAACACCCAAATACCATTCTTGCTCTGTTTAAATTATATTGAATATAAATTAAAACCCTAAGATTTCTACAAGATTGACGTCAAAATTTACAAATCCTGGATAACTACCCTGTGTTAAAAATTGCTTTGTTATTTGTTTGTTTGTTTGTCCATTTTGAGCAGAAACAGGAGACTTATTATTCAACATGTAATCAACTTATTATAGTCTGAGCAGAGAGGTCAAGTTCCATGAACCCGCCACGAATTAAATTCTAACCCGCTTAAGCCGGATTCGAACCAGCATCGTTTGAATCTAGGGTGATAAGGTGAAGCCTTTAGGCTGTCGGCCATCATGGCCTCTGATTCAAAGACACAACTTTTACAGAGTCTATCCAAATACATATGTCACGTTCAAAATAATTTAAAAGGAATTAAAATTTTATTTTTCTGTCATATCTGGAAATTTTCTTTAATTTGTGCAATACCGGCATTACCTGTATCACCACAACATCCCCGATACAGGTTCTTTAACAATACATTTTATATATTCAAATATACTTGTTAATAATAAGGCATTTACTCTTAATTAAGCAGATTCTAACAAAACATTAAGATTTCCACGCGTTGATTTGTCACTAGAAATCCTTTTATGCGTTGAGTCAAATAACGAGCAATTTTAAATATCAATAATTTTGTAAAATAAGGATTTTATTTTTAAATATATTGTTAATTGGGGAGTTTAGACGAAAAAGGTTGAATTTAGTCAATGATCACATGTCTGAGCTGAATGCTAGACATTAAAGCAATAAATTTTGCAATTGAATTCATTTAAATTCCAATTCATTCAATCAATTATACATTCAAAACGTAACGTGTATTCCTGCATTCCCGAATTTACATTAATGACGTTCTTCAATGAATAAAAAAAAGGATCGTATTTATGAATTCATTAGAGAAAAACATAAATATACATGGATCTGTATAATTCAAAACTCTTTTGTTATCACTGTTTCTTTACTGACAAATACAATTCCTGAACACTAAAATGACTTTGGCCACTAGAACTTTTTAAATAATATCTAATGTATGAGCGTTTTTCATATTATTAACTATTTCCGTTATTACTTTGTAACGTAGATATTTCTTTTGCTTTCTTATAAACCTTTTCGATAAATAAGAGTAGGACTTTTATATATTTTGTTCTGTATAAATTGGTTTGTTGAGTTGATAGTTGAACCCTCAAGTAGTTAACCCCTTAAGCAGTTAAATAAGCGATAATCGACGTTTCAGGCTAAGTTTTAGACCTTCGTCAGGGCAAAGCAAAGACCAGATAATAAATAAATATTGAGAACATTGTTATCTTAGATAGAATCAACCAACAGTCAACAATATCTCCACCATAAAGGGGTCATAACTCAATTCTTACGCGAACTAATCATAATAGTAAGTTTCATGGGTAATAAATATTCAGGACGCAGTCTTTTTAAAAAAAATTTCAAAATTTTTATTCATAACAAAGTTAAAAAAAAAAATTCAAAAAGACTGCGTCCTGAATATTTATCACCCATGATATGTAGAACAGTCTACTAACTACCTTCGATAATAGTAAGTACATGTAATGGTAAGTGGCTTACCTCATTATTAATTATGAACCACCAATTCTGTAATTCGCCTACCTTGGAATGGAATTAAACTGAGAAAACTGAGAAAGGGAAGTGATGAAATCAAAAGTAGAAACAGAGCCTACTATGGCTTTCAAAAACTTATGAAATTAAACCTTGTGGCCAAGCAAACCAAATTAAAAATGAATAGCCCGAAACGTCTTCAAGAAGAAGGTTTTAAGCATTAATTAAATATTAAAAAGGGTTAAAATAAATTGTTTTGCTTGATATTATAAACATTATTAAAAATATACAAATCTTTGATATGACCGGTGGTGTGCTATGGAGCATAAATCTGGAGCCTGAAAGTCTGGGACCAATCAGCCGTAAGGGTTTTTGAGAGAAAAATATTATGATGTATTTTCGGCCCAGTATGCTCAGACAGCACCTGGAGGATCAGAAAGAATAGGGAGCTTGAAAACATGACAGGGCATGAGGATATAGTCAGGTTTGTTAAATCAAGAAGGCAAAGTTGGCTTGGTCATCTTGAAAGGTTGCCAGAAGGGCAGATGACCAAAAAATTAATAAAGGCGGATTTCCAAAATAAAATAACAAAGGGACGCCCCAGAACAAGCTGACTGAAGGATGTGGAAAGGACTTGGCTGGAAACAGATTGTGAGGCCAAGGTTCATATTTGACAATAGTGTCGGATATGTAAGTAAGTAATTATATAATAATAAAAATTATTTCAATATCACATTTTCAATACATATAGATGTAATATAAACTTAATAATAAAATAATGTTTTAGTAAATCGAACATTGTGTGTTCAAAGCTATGGAATATATTATTGAAGAACAGAAACTGACAACTTTCACGTTTTATTTTTTCAAAATATATCTTTTTTTTTAGTCATAAATTTTACCCTATTTTGAGTTTCTTCGTAAAGTTGATCCCAAAGCCCATCGAAACCGAGCAACAGAGTGTTCAACTTGTTCTGCTGAAAGATAGCGTTGCACAGCTTCATGAGGCCACTGAGCATGGTAAGAGTGATCTGGATGCACTGCAGCTTCTCCGTAGTAGCACCTTCCATGAAGATGAAGTAGGCCAAAGATCCTCCGACGCAGTATGCCGTCGCCGCGGTACTGTAGATGGCGAAGTAGGAGTACAATCTTGGATATTCCGAAGAAGCCAGCATGCCGCTCCCTTCAAGAGCTGATCGTACCAAACTGCTGGGAGGTACCGACATCTTGCCAATCTGAGTGCTAAGGTGACGCCTTAACAGAATTAGGTATGCAGAATTAGATATATATTTTCCACAATCAGGTCATAATATGAGATGGATAAAAGCAGTGGCGTTAAGTAGGATTGGACACCCGCTAAGGCCAACAGAATCACTCGGCTCAACTCCGAGAAAATGTGAAAACAATTTTTTTTTATTATGATTGAAATTTTATTTTTATCCGTAATATTAAATAATTTATAAATATTTTATTTATGACCAGTTTAAATATAATAAAATATATATATATATATATATATATATATATATATATATATATATATATATATATATATTTAAAAAAAATAAAATAAAAATAAAATAAATAAATAAAATAAAAATAAAAATATTTTTTATGATTTTTTTTTTTAGGAACTAGTTAGTTTCAAATGTTTTATAGGATTTATTTTGAGCCAACTTATCCACAATACTTATTTTATAAGCTGTGAGTCTTTCATGAATGCCTTCCGTTAAATTTTGGAAGCAATATCAAATTGTTATAATCCCCATAATTTGTTAAATGAAAAACGGACTTATTTAATATCCCCATTTCGAAGTCTTTCTCTTTGGAATATTTGTAATATTTTCATGATTAGTCATAATGTTTGGTCTATTTTTAAGGTTTTTATTTCACGGTAATGTAATAATTGCAATTGAGATCATAGTTACGTATATCTGATGGACACGTTCATTTCAACAACTCACTAGCGGATCCAGGATTTAATTTTTGGGGGGGGGGGGCTTCAGCCCGAAACCTTGTTTTTTCATAAAAATAACGATAATTACTTTGGAAAAACAGAAAGAAACTAACTACCTATATGAAATGGTGTTTAAGTTATTCCTTAAGTACTTTTAAATGTAATTACACGAACAATAATACTTTAAGAGGTATTTTTAAATATTTTTTTACATAAAACATGGTTATATTTTTCCATTTTGGGGGGGACTTCAGCCCGAAAGCCCCCCCCCCCGTAGATCCGCCCGTGCAACAACTTTATCCTTTTTGATTTTATTTTTATGAACAGTTTGTTGGACTTTAGCCAATAAATTGGGGAAAGGTTAATATCGTTTTGAAAACGGAATAGTGTGGCTAAGTGAGTAAGAAACTGTGTTTTTATACTGCAGGTCTCGGTTTCGAGCTCGGCGTTGGCAGGTAATTATTTATTCCATCAATTCAGCCATGGATCTAGCCTGGATTCTCTTCGAAGGTTAAAACGCCGTATATTATGATAAAATAAAACTCCTCGCGAAGTTTTAGATAAGCATTAATAATTTGATACTTTTTGATTATTATTTTACTCTTGTTTATTTTATATATGTTATCGTGAAAGATCGAAATCTATAGAATGTCGACTTTCGCCCGTGAATTTCAACATTCACATAGTCGCTTGGTGTATGTCCGAAATATTTGATAAATACCCTTATTTCTGGCTTACACCGGTAAATGTCGTCATTCACCGTGCACTAATGATGAAAGTTCAACATGTTGGAGATTTATATTTTCCTTAATTCAGTCATTCACGAGGTTGGCGTAACTTTTTCTCTTCTTTGAGAGGAGTGACCAAGAATTTAAAACACACAGTACATTCTAAATGAGAAAATAAAATAATAGTAATAAAAAAAATTACTTAATTATGTGATTCAAATCTTATTTATTGCAACAACTTAAACTATTATGACGCTTTGAATTGCACAAGAGACCCTTGCTTTTACAACTGTGTTTATTTGTGGAACACTTCCTTTTGCAATGACAGCGTGTATAGCCTTGTCTACCACTTCTCGAATTAGCTGCAGCTGCTTCTCTCAGCGACATTTCTTGAAAATAAATCTCATCTATGGAAAGTGACTTTTCTTTACAAATTATGAACTGATTACTTATGTGAAGCTGTTTGAGGTACGATTTTTATTTTCCAGATTATAGAAGTATACAATTCTGAAGCACACATGGATTCCACAGAGTGGTTATTCTTATTTTAAAAAATAATTAAGGAAAAAACCAATCGTTGTCCCAGGAAACTGCACTTCTTTCCAAGTACTGAACCCCATTCCCTCAAAGGTTGTATTGATAGAAGTTTTCTTGTTTAAAAGAATTTTGATTTTTCAATAAAATAAAATATATTTTTGCAGTTTCATTTTTTTTCTCGCTCTCTTGAAATTTATAATAAATAATATTATTAATGAAGTTATGACACGGGTAAATATTTATAATAAAATAATATTTTTTAAAGAGGATTGGACGGTAGAATCCTACAATACGCCACTGGATCAAAATATATCTTTAGGTTACCTTTCGGAGGAGTGTACTTCACAAGATGCAGTAGGTAGTCTGACGGCGTTTATTTCACCATATTAGAACAAAAGTCATTTCGATTAAAAATTAATCCTAATCTCTTTCTGATCCCTATCCATTAAATATTTCATCTCATAATGTCCCAGCTATAACGAAAAATCGATAATAATATGTTGAAATCGATATCAGAAACTGAAATTGTATTATTTATAGTCTTGCCACGAATCCGAAAGCGAAATAAAAACGCATCTCGATGAAAATTTTGCAAGTAACACCAACAATTTTGGAAAAAGAGTAAAAGAGGCTTCCTAAGAGATGGCAAAAGGTAATAGAGCAGAACGGTTCGTATATAAAACAGTAAATTAACCTTAAACAACAAAGAAAGGAAAAGTAAGGAACTTATAGAAGACCCTTATATATCGGAATGTGACGAGAAAATTTTAGAGTAGTTGCACATTATTATTAAATGTAGAGTTAAATCATCTCAACAAAGATATTAGTCAATATTACAGATCATTTTTTTTTTAATGTACCTAGGCATAATAAAACAGTAAAACTGTAGTATACTTCGGTTAAAAATAGAATATAAACAAAATTACTTTCTTACCCTATAAAAGTATATTAACTTATCTATAAAGTAATAAAAAACTGTAAGACTTATATTACTTATAGCCTCTAAAAAAATGCAGCAACTTACTTAATTACTACCTGATAAATTTGTAATAAAACTATTATTGCTTTTAATAAGGAAGTATTTACTTATAAGATTTAAGAGGGAACTTAAATTTAAGAGAACTTGGATTTAAGAGATTTAAAACTGAAGAGAGAACTTATAACTGAGAAGTCTGACAAGTACTGTCAGGATAGCTTCCTCGCCATTTCTATAGGTTACAAGTAATCAAACCCTGATTTTATAAAAAATATTTTAAATAGTTTAGTTAAGACTTTGTCACTAAAAAAAATGAGTTTTTTTTAATCCGAATATTTATTTATTTATTTATTAGATATACATATTTCTGGCTCACAATAAATTTGCCATCTACATTGGTATTCAGCAAATATGATATCAAGGACAAGAAATGATAGCATAAGAAAAAAAAAATAATAGTAATAACAAAATAGAAAGACAAAAAAAAAAGAAAAAACCAATAAAAAAAAAAAAAAGAACAGTAGTAAAATAACAGAATAACACACAAAAAAAAAAAAGATAATGCAGCAAGTAAGCTTAATGCAATAAGTCTCTTGGCCAGCGCCTCAGCAGTCTTCTGGGCGGATTATATGGATTTGTGGCAGTAGATAGAACATGAGTAAGTGGATTGGAATTTAGAGTCAGTCTGTCATGAAAAATATTAAAGCGGTCAGTGACAGTTGCCGTGATGAAAGGAGTGTTAAGGTCAGTGTGCAAGGTGAGGTTTGAAACATAAAAGGGTGCGTCTACAATTTTCCGAAGGACTTTTCACTGGAATGACTGAATGATTTTTATATTTGATTTCTTTGCTGTTGCCCATAGTTCGATTCCATATGTCCAAAGTGGTTTAATGAGGACTTTGTAAATAGTTAGTTTATTAGTCACAGATAATTTTGAACGTCTGTCAAGTAGTCTAGAAAGAAGTCCGTATCGCTGATTAAGTTCTTTTCTTTTTTGTTTTATGTGGTATGTCCATGTCAGTCGTTTGTCCAAGTAGAGGCCCAAATATCGTACAGTTTTTGAAGGTGGTAGAGCGATATTATTAAAGAACACTGGAGGACAAGAGTCATGTTTAAGTGTAAATGAAACAAATTGGCTCTTAGACTCGTTCATTTTTATTCTCCACCTTTTAGCCCAACAAGCTATGTCGTCTAGGTGTTCTTGAAGTATCTGAGAAGCCTTAGCTGCATCCTTGTTAGATGTTAATATTCACGAGTCATCAGCAAATGTAGCCAACAGTGTTTCAGAATGTTGTGGGATGTCTGAACAGTAAATGTTGAAAAGTGTTGGACCCAAGACACTGCTTTGAGGTACTCCAGCTTTTATTTGTTTGATGGCAGAAAACTGAGTCCCCATTTTCACACGGAAAAATCTATCTTTTAGATATGATTGTGAAATTAAGTAATACGTCGGAGGAATGATCGTTTTTAATTTATGTAACAAACCATCGTGCCATATTCTATAAAAAAAATGAGTAAAAATGGAAGTATCCAAAGTATACGTAAGTTAAAACTTTTTTAAATGCATCCATTTTAACCAAAAATATTAATTAGGTGCAATCTTATCAAAGCGAACTTATAGCCTCATAAAACGATAGTATGTTTTCTTTTTATATATCTTTACTTCTCAACTCACATCTGTCAAAAACATTGACAATCAGTCAGTTTGCTGTCAAGAAGAATATGAGTATTATCATTGATCGGCTTGAAGGGAGGAGTGAGTCCAGCGGCATCCCTGTCGATTTTATTATGAATTTTTAAGCGAGAAGATCCCTCATCCAGTTTCTTTTGATACTCCTAAGTCTGTTATCGGGTGTGTTGTTGCCATATATTTTGTGAGTGTTTATGTGTTACCATAAATTTAATTTTCCCTATCATATGTTTACATCTATAAAATTCTTAACAACTAGTTACACTAATTTTATTACAAATCAAATTTGTTGAAATTCAAACTACCACTCCCACTACATCATTCCATAAATTTGTTCTT